CTAAGCTCAACATTGCTAAACGTCCAAGTAGCATCCTTCTTCACAAAACAGCTTGTTGTTCAAAGCATTGTGTATCCCAATACATACAGAAGTAGATGCATGCACACATGGACACACATGTAGCCACCAATGACTCATGAGTTCTCTTCCAGGTGTTTTGTCTGTGATCACATTACTCCCTTGATATAGGCCCTCTTCATCTTGTGGCTTCAGCTCTTCCTCCTCTAGTCCAGGCTTGGCATCATGGAAACACACCCTTGTGCCCTGCACACCTGTGTATTGAACTTTTCTGGCTTCCCGTAGTCTACAACATACCAAACAAGCTCTCCATCTGCATAAGGTGCACTCTGCTACCTATTTCTGCAGCCCTGCTTCTAGAAAGCCCCTGAGAGATGCATGATGCTCTGAAGGCATCCTCCTGCCTCAACACCCCTGCCCTGTCTATCCTTATTACCCCACAGCAGAAGAGGCTTCATCTTAGCGGTCTTACTTCTCTCCCAAGACTGATGTCCACAGAAAGTTTCCCTGAGGCAAGGAACCTCGGTGTCCCCACTTGTCTCTGAATTCCTGGACACATTATTCTATAAATACACATGGCTCTGGAAGTTAGCATATCTTACTTTTGTTTGCCTTTTTAATGTATTTATTTATATAAAAATGATCCCCTAAAGCATAAGGATTATGTCCTAGGCAGATTCAAGTACTGTAGTCTCCACATAGCCACCAATCCTTAATTCTGGGCTTGTTGGCTGAGGAGAAGGACATTTGGCTAATGTCCCACTAGTTAGAAGGACTTTTAAATGCTCATCAAGTGCATCTCCTTATGCCTTCACAAGGGACACATTTAGTCTAGCCCAGGACCATGGCATCTCGCTTTATTTGGATAATTTTTTCCAAAGCCCTTAATTCTCCTGTGTTCCTGGGCTACAATGTGCAGAGCGAGCATTCCTCACAGCCACTTAAAATTCCCATACTAGAATTTAGTCAATATTCTTTTTTTTTTTTTTTTTTTTTA